CCCTGCCAGACAGCGACCGCATTCCTGTGGGTGTGGGGGTTAAGACAGGGCAGGGTACTCTCCTGCCTCCCTGCCAGCTTTTGGGGATGCCCGGCAGGACAGCCAGCACCCCCAGCCCCTGCGGTCCCCTTCGAGATGGGTACCACACCCTTGGGGACATCCCACCCAGGACTGCATCCCCGGGACACCTGAATCCTGGTTGGCATTAGGCATCTCCCAGCTGGGAGGGCCACGGACGGGTGCAGCCAGCCCCAGCCCCTTGTCCCCAGCCCTGTCCCCAGCCCACCTCGAGTCGCCAGCCTCGCCCCGGCCCCGTTGCCAGTCTCTCTTCATAAACTGGCTCGCCAGCCTCTGCAGCGCCTGTGGACAGACCCGTCACCACCAGCACTCCCCAACCCTACCAGGCACCCCAGCACCCCGCCGCCCCACTCCAGGGCTGAAACTGGGCTTCCCCACACCAGCTGCCCACCCCACGGGTGTCCCCAGAGCAGGGGACACACACACACCCCACAGTGGCTCGGTGTCAGCAGGGACCCCATTGCCCTCCCTGCAGGAAAACCTTTTGTGGAGTAGCCACCACCACGAGATGACCCCCCCCGCTGCGGCTTTTGGGACAGAGGACTGGCAAGGGGACACCACTGAGGGACACCGGCTGCAGAGGCAGAGTAGAGGAGCCCCCAGCAAAGCCAAGCACAGCATGACCCCAACCCTGGGGGGGACGGTCCCCCCTCCAGCCTGGGGGGGGAAGAGGGAGCAGGGTGGCATGGTGCCTGGCTGCAGGAAGGGGGGATGCATCTCTGCTGCAGGGTGTCCCCAAGGGATGCTGCGGGGACATCTCACGGAGCAAAACCAGGCTCTGACATTTAAGAGCGGAGCCCTGTGATGATCCAGCAGAGAGCAGAGCCGGGCGGTTTCCTCCCCTGGCAAGGTTTTCCCTCCGGGCCCCCAAAACACCCGAGGTTCAGGCCATGCTGTGCTCAGCAAAGCACCCCAGCGGGTGCTCTAATGTGGTCGGTCCCCCCCCGGCAGGCAAAATGCTGCGCCCATCCGCCACCGGCCTCCGTGGCTGGCATGGAGCAGCTAAGCCCCGCTTTGCTTGGATAATTTCCAACGCTGCCCGTCGCCTGCGTGGGGCCGTGCCCGGCGCCAGAATACCCCACGTAGGGAAGATGGGGCTCGGTGCTCAGGCCTCCCCAGGTATCGGTCCCAAAACCGGCGGCACCTCCTCACCTGCCCGTACTCCCTGTCAATGGCGGCCCTCTGCTTGCTGTAGGACCTGTGGAGAGAGGGCACGTGGGGCAGGCGAGGACCCACGCAGGGGGGCAGGGACGGGCCACCCCTGCCATCAGTGCCCTGCCATCACCTCCCTGCCATCACCCCGCACCGGGATGTCCCCACGTGGCCACCCCGGCGGGTGATGGAGCCCACGACCTCGACGCGGCAGGCTCAAGGTGAGCCGTGCCTGGCAGGCTGGCCCCCGCCCCACACGTGGGATGAG